GCCCTGGTCTCTGGGTTATCTAAATAGAACAACATCTTGTGGTTTTATCGTTGTGCAAGACTTGAATTTCCATGTTCCCGTGGTGGGGTCTCTCACTCCCCCCTTTTCTATATCATGGATAGAATCTTATATCCATTGTTCTGTCTGTTCGAGTTCTTGGACCAGATCAGTCTGTGATCCTGCTTGTTGCTGGAGCAACTGGTATTGTTGAGTAAGGACCATGGTTTGGATTATAGAAAGTCTCTCTTTCATGAACTGCATCACTGTCTGGGTGGTGAGGGAACCTTTTGGTCTCCAAGTACGGGGTTAGGCCCTATTAAATTAGTCGCAACTGGGGTTTGGGTTAACTTAATTATAAATATGAAGCCTGGGTCATATCCAGCCATGTACCATCGGAGACCCCACGCTCTACCGGCAAGCCAGGGATTTATTGTTCTTTTACCTTTCGGAGTAAAGTTTATTTTTAAGTGGCAGCCTGATCCTGTTTTGCCCGTGTAGTTCTTGGCTACCTGTATTAGATCCCAGCTTGAGGTGGGGTTCCAGTAGGTATCCCCTGTGGTCTCGCAACCCCAGGAGGAGCAGAAAAATGTGTCATCTCCCCCACAAGTACGTATTTGGGCTGGATTTCTACCGTCTCTCGGGCAGACATAGAAGCTATCCAAGGGACAGGGACAGGCTTCTTGGATCTTATGATGGAGGCGTTGATTCCCTTTAATATCTAGGGCTTGTCCCCACATTGGCTTGCAAGGATCAAGGAAAAGAGGGGGCCACCAGGTTCCAGGGTAATGGGTAGCTGTGATGGACCAAGCTATTATCCCATTTGGAGTGAGTACTTGCCAAGTTTGACTCATAGGGACATGGGGACTAGCATTTGATGCAGGGAGAGCGAAATACAAGGCAAGGAGAATCAACAGCGGGTAAGTCTTATCTTTAGCGGGTTCTGGGTGCGTTGCAGCTTCCATCCTGGATTTGGAGAGGTGTCTGTGGAATCTTGTGGATGTGCAGCCTTCACGTGGGAAGCATGGATCCAGGCGGTGATGCCGTCCACTTTGACTGCAGTAGGAGTGGTCAACAGAACGGTGTAGGGTCCCTTCCACCGTGGTTCGAGGTTCTTATTCTGGTGTCTGCGCACCCAGACGGTGTCTCCAATTTCGAAGGAATGTGGCACTGAGGGGGTTTTGAGCTCTTCCTTATATGCCGCTGCCAATGGTTTCCAAACCTGGTTCTGGACTAGTTGCAGTGCGCGCAAATGAGTCTGCATAGATGGGGTAGGGGAGGCATAGATTTCAGGTTCATAAAAGTTAACAGTGGGTGGTGGGGCACCGTACATAATTTCAAATGGGGTTAATCCCTGAGGGCCTGGGGTATTCCCGGCCGATATAAAACTAAAGGTAGGAGTTGTACCCAGTCTCTAGTGCCAGTTTCAAGCGTTAATTTGGTTAAAGTCTCCTTGATGGTCCTATTCATTCTTTCTACCTGTCCTGAGCTTTGGGGTCTATAAGCACAATGTAATTTCCAATTAATCCCCAATGTATTGGCCACCATCTGACTTACCTGAGAGGTGAAGGCAGGCTCGTGAGGACCGTGGACGAAGACTCAGGATTTCACCTGCAAGATAAGGTCAAGGTTAAAAGTCCCTTCTGCAGGCCAGCCGATGTTGAATGCTGGCCATTCTGAGGTACAAAGTGTTTTCCATTTCTTTTTCTTGACTTCTACGGACAGATTGTTTGCCCGATTTTGAATGTCCTGCCAATGATCTAAAGTGAGGCTCAAAGGAGTTGTTATTGATTGTCCCATGCTGGTTCCAGATAGAAAGAAAAGGTAAAGGAGCAAACACAAAGACACGAAAACGAGACCAAACAGGAAGAGCGCTGTGCAGCTTCGGCAGAAACCGAAACTATCAGATGGCCTGAGAGAAGTTCGTACTTCTCTGTTGCCTACTAAGACAGTGTATCCTTCGGAAACACTGGGGGTCCCTACGAAATGGACCCGTCTAATCCCTGGGACGTCTCCCAGGGTGGCAGGGGAGAAGTCCGAGTTCGTCAACTCCTTCTCAAGCTGCCTCTGAATACCTGATGACTACGCGTAGTCTTACAAACGCTGCGCAAGACATTGAACACAAGACCAACAAAACCAATGAGCTCGAGCTGGCCAGCTTACCTCCTTACCTCCCAGTGATGTTGAGTGTTTTCCAGATAGGGATCTGGGTAGAAGTGATCTTGGTGGGACCTCCAAAATGAAAGACCCTCAGATGTCCAGCCCGGAATGAAACACACGAAAGAGGCAGTTTATTACTACACAGGCGCCTGCGGGTGCTCAGCAATGCCTCAGCCGAAGCTTCGGTGAACTGGCACACCGGGCTTTAGGGTACAGATCTTTTATAGGGAGCAGGGGGTTAGTTTTCAGCTTAGCACAGCAACAGTCATTCTATTGGTTCCTCTGAATCCAGCATTTAGGTCACCTAGGGGGTAAACTTGTTTTTCCACTTTATGTTCTCGGAGAAACCATAAAATTGCATCCTGTCCTTTCTGTTCCTGTTTTTACCCTATTTGCTTAAGCCTGCCCTGGTCTCTGGGTTATCTAAATAGAACAACATCTTGTGGTTTTATCGTTGTGCAAGACTTGAATTTCCATGTTCCCGTGGTGGGGTCTCTCATTAGGATTCCTTCCCTTTCAAATATATGGAATGATTTGAGAAGGATTGGTGTTAGTTCTTTAAAAGTTTGGTAAAATTTAGCAGTGAAGCCATCTGGTCCTGTGCTTTCCTTTGTTGGGAGACTTTTTTTCAGTAATTCAGTCTTATTCTTTGTTAATTGGTCTAGTCATGATTTTTATATTTTCTTGGTTCAGTTTACTAGTTCATGTGTGTCCAGTGATTTGTCCATTTCTTTTAGATTTACCAATTTGTCAGCATAGAGTTTTAAAAAAATTATCCCTAGTGATCCTTTGCATTTCTATGGTAGCAATTGTAACGTCTCCTTTTTCAGATCTAATTTTATTTATTTAGCTCTTTTTTTTCTCTCTCTTTTGTGTAATCTAGCTAAAAGGTTTGTGGATTTTATCTTTTCAAGAAACAACTCCTTGTTTCCTTGATCCTTTGTATTGTTCTTTTAGACTCCTTTTCCTTTATTTATTTATTATTTGTTCCCTTCTACTAATTTGGGGTTTGGTTTGTTCTTGTTTTTCTAAGACAATGAGATGTACCATTAGGTTGTTTATTTGAAATGTTACTATTTTTTTGATGTAGGCACTTGATGCCATAAACTTTCAGTATTTTTCTGTATTCCACAGATTTGGGTGTGTTTTATTTCATTTGTTTCAAGGAATTTTAAAAATTTCCTTCTGACTTTCTCAATGAAAGTCAAGAGCATGTTATTCAGTCTTTATGTATTTATAGAATTTGTAAAGTTTCTCTTGCTATTGAGTTTTAGTTTCATTTCATTGTGATCAGGTATAGGACATGATTTCAATTTTTTTTCAATTTTAAAAACTTGTTTCATGGCCTAATATATGATCATTATAATTCTTCTGTTTAAAATTCCCCAGTGAGTCAGGCATGGTGGCACATGCCTCTAATCCCAGCATCTTGGGAGGCTAAGGCAAGAGCATTGCAAGTTCAAAGCCAGTTCCAGCAACTTAGTGAGGCCCTAAGAAACTTAGCGAGACCCTGTCTCAAAATAAAAAATAAAAAAAGATCTGGGGATGTGGTGAAGCTCCTCTGGGTTCAATCTCATGTATCAATCAATCAATCAATCAATCAATCAATCAATCAGTTAATCCTCAATGATTCTCCACTGTATGCTCAAGGGGAAGGTTGTGTTTTTTTTTTTGTTATTTGTATTTTCACAACTTCTACCATAGTCTATCCCTTGTCTTGTTCAAGCCTCTTCTACTTTATGCTTCAGCAATAGGACTTTTATTTTCTTATTTTTAAAATTTAAACCATATCCTAATGTTCATTTTTGTCTAGGATGCCTTTCACAGCTCCCAACCTTACTTGATAAACTCCACTGCTCCCACTTTACTTGGTAAACTCCTGATAATTCTTGAAGTTTCGTCTAAGATTTTACCTTCTCTGGGAATCTTTTTCTATTCCCTTGCCCTCCTGTTCTAGCTGAGTTGGAAGTTATCTGTGGTTACATACATTCCTGTAAATATTTTGGTCATTGCTCTTACCATGTTATGTTTTTTTTTTGGCACCGGGGATTGAACTCAGAGGTACTTGACCACTGAGCCATACTCCAGCCCTATTTTATATTTATCTAGAGACAGGGTCTCACTGAATTGCTTAGCACTTTGCCATTGCTGAGGCTGGCTTTGAACCCTCGATTCTCTTGTCTCAGCCTCCCAAACTGCTGGGATTACTTACAAGTGTGTACTATCATGCCCGGCCCTATCATGTTATTTCCTAAATTGTGTTTATTTCTTCTCTACTAATCTGAGAATACTTCATCTTTTATTTTATGGTTACACTAATTCTAAGTGAATGGTGTATGAATTAATGAGTTAATTTGGAAAGGGATGTGGTGATAAAAATTCCATAAAATCATATGGGTCCAAATTATGGAAGAGCACAGATCATCATTCAGAGATTTTGGACTTTGTTCTATAGACTAGCAGTAGCCAATGAGTAGCAGTTTGGAATCGGGGCTTGGTGATCAGGATAGTATCCTTGTACAAAATGGGAGTAGAGTGGGTAGAATTCTACTTGTTGTACTGGTTTAAAGAAAACGTATTTAATCCATGTCTATTTTCCATCATGTTTTGTAATGCTTGGTACAAGATAGATATTCAGAAGGATTTTGAGTACATTTATACTGTTTTGCCAAGAGTTAGTAGAAGATGTGATTCTAGTACAAGATAAGATTATCTAGCCTTAACAAATTAACATTCTACTGGATATGGTGGCATGTGTCTGTAGTACCAGCCACTTGAGAGACTGAGATAGAAGGATTGATGAATCAGTTTGTACAACATAATGAGACCCTATCAAAAGTAATTAGAAGAAATTAATATTCTGATTATAAATATGTCAATACAAGTTAGTTTAGTTGTTTTCAGAGTAACTTTTCAATATTTTTTTTGGGTTAGTTTTGCTTAGGGGGAATGATTGCATTGAACTATGTACTCCTTCTTGCTTCTTTAGTAACTGTCTCTTCATACTTAGATAATTTTTATTGCCTCTGGTTCACAATGCACATTAAATATTTCGCAGAACAGTAAGCCTGACAATGCACTCTTGATGTTTAATAGGTTGAATTATAGAATATAAACCACTAGAGTGTATGCACTAAAAATTGTGACCAGCCATTTCTTTCTTACTATAAGACAAATAAATTAGAAAGAAAAACATATTGATAAAATATATCCATATGTGAGATAGGCTCTGGTAAACTTTTCTTAACTGGAAAGTAGGTCTCTCCCCCCCCCTTACAGTATCGGGGATTGGACCAGGACCTTACCTATATTAGGCAAGTAAGTGCTCTACTTCTGAGCTACATTCCAAGCCCAGGTAGTCTATTTTTTGTTTTAAAGAAAACACAGAGCATATTTCAAAATGGTCATGTTCCCTTCCCCCATATCAAAGATGTGAGGAGACTGTTCTTCACTTCTCGTAGTAGTATCCTCATGTTGCTTCTGAAGGTAAAATATATGAAAGTGTAGGGGTTTCCTAAGTCTTCCTAAGTCCCTGCAAGTTTCCCACTTTTAGGATAGTCATATTCAGCCTGGGCAAGTCATCAGAATTACTGTTCAAGTCTTCTGCCAGTTTATGTCTCCAGCACCTTATGTTCCAAATAAGTTGAACTCGACTATATTTCTCTGTATTTAACTTTCTCCCCAGATTTATAATAGCAGTTTTCCCTGAGGCCTCAGCTGTCTTATGGACACAAGGAAAGTTGTTTATTTTCAGTGTATTCAGTTTTTTTCCTATAAGAATATGAGTGTCAACCTTCATGCTCTTTTCGTGTCAGAGCTAAAGCCAGAAGTCTAATGAAAATGTTAATAATAAACATCTTTGCAGTAAATTTTTACAAAACTGAAATGATTCATAGTTCTGTAATAAGTCTCAACCAGGGGCTGGGGTTGTGGCTCAGTGGTAGAGTGCTTGCCTAGCATGTCTGAGGCACCGTGTTCGATTCTCAGCACCACATATAAATAAATGAAAAAAATAAAGGTCCATCAACAACTAATAAAAATATTAAAAAAAATAAGTCTCAACCAATTTGATTTTTTAATAGGTGCCAGGAAGAAGGTACATTTTGGTAGCATTCATGATGCAGTACGAGCTGGAGACGTAAAGCAGCTTTCAGAAATAGTGGAACGTGGAGCCAACATTAATGAAGTTGATGTTCTCCATAAATTTACCCCTTTGCATTGGGCAGCACATTCTGGAAGCTTGGAGGTAAGAAGCTATGCATATTAAAAGGTAAGTTTACACCTATAGCAGTTTTGTAAATTTACAGACCAGGATGAAATCTTATGCTAGGCACTGCAAATAGTTTTCCTTTCAATTCAGTCTAACATTTGGATATTCTACTATACTAGGACTTTATAACAAATTATCCCAAAACTTAGGGTCATAAAATAACTGTTCATACTCATCAGTGAACCAAGAATATGGATTCCAGGGGCAGTTTCTCTCTTTTGTATTACATCTGTGGCTTTAGCTGAAAGATTTATGTCTGGGGCTAGACTTTTTTGAAGGCTTTTTCACTCAGATGATGGTGGTTATTCTGGCTTAAATGGGGCACTTTAATGTGAGCCTTCCTGTGAGATCTTGCCACTTGGGCTAGTTTGGGCTTTGGATTCCAAAGGTAAGCATAGAGCATAACTTATAGAAGATAACATCATGAATACCCATCATAACATTTTTTCATGTAGTTAATTCAGATTTTTAGAAAAGAGGTAGAATATTGTGGATATATTTAAAGTCCCTGAGCACTCTTCTCAGTTGTCATCCCTTCCAATTCCAGAGATAAATGTTATATACAGATTTTGGTGTTTATTAGTTCTTTATATAAATGACATCATGTTATGTGTATAATTATTTAGTTTATTTTGTTTGTTCAACAATGTTTTTGAGTTTTAACCATATAGTTATATACAGGTATTCTCCTTCATTTCATCAGAATTTATTCATACTTCTATTGATAGATATTTAGTTGGTTTCAATTTCTAGCTTGTACAAACAATGCTTAGTGAACATTTTTATGTAAATCTTTTTATTCTTTTTTTTTTAGAGAGAGAGAGAGAGAGAGAGAGAGAGAGAGAGAATTTTTTTTAATATTTATTTTTAGTTTTTGGTGGACACAACATCTTTATTTTTAAAAAATTTTTTTTTTATGTGGTGCTGAGGATCGAACCCAGCACCCCGCGCATGCCAGGCACGTGCGCTACTGCTTGAGCCACATCCCCAGCCCTCTTTTTATTAAACTGTGTACAAGGCCAACTAGAATTTTTCTTATGATTCAATGTTGTATGTGTGTGGCGGGGGGTGGGTGGGTGGGCGGTATTTAAGCTACTACATTTTCTCAGCCTGTAGGCCACAATAGGTCTATTCCACATTGCTGTTTTTCTTTTTTATCCCTGACATACACACATAGACTGCTTTCATAACTATCGCTATTATTTGTAGTTTCTTCTTTGTTTGGACTTATCTACTTCATGTAATCAAATCGGGTTCAGAGACTCTGTATCAGTTTGTATGTCTCAGTTGAAGTAAACACTTTGGCCTGTTGGTGGATTCCTCTCACTTTCGAGAAGTATGTCTCTCATGTGACGTGTGACCCTGGGTGGGTGTTCTCCTCGTTGTATCCTCCCATATCCCTGTTTGATCTGTACTGTTGGCACCATTTTCATCATTTGTGGTTTGGGTTATAGATTTCTCCTAATTTCATCAAAACTGGAGTTATCAAAATGCTAAAAACATCTTCCTTATCACTTGTAAACATAATTGTTTTTCTAATTAGTGTCTTCATTGGCTGCTGTGGCATGGAGCTGATATCACACAAGTAACCACAAGAGGCTGGACAGCAGCTCACATAGCTGCAATTAGAGGTCAAGATGCTTGTATGCAGGTATTAATATTTTGGTTACTTTTTAAAAATTCAGTGAGTTTAATTACTTTAGCATAGTTCTGTTGGGCTATTGCTATTATTCTAAATATTTTATCTAATAAACATAGTTATATATTCTAAACAAAAACAGTGGATTCCACAACTCAGATATTTTGATACCAGTATTCACTTAAACAAATGATATGTGACTATAGATCCTTTTTTTCTCTAAAATATTTGGCTGCTTGAGTTGTTTCAAGTGATGTTATAGTTGTGCCAAGATTATCTCCTTAAGTTTGCTGCTATAGTATGAATGTGCCCTCTCCCCAAATAAATATGTTGAAATCTTAACCCTCAAGGTCATGGTATTAGGAAGTGGAACCTTTGGGAGGTTATTAGATTATGAAGGATCTGGCCTCATAAATGGGGTTAGTACCCTTATAGAAGATACCCCAAAGAGCTAGGTAAAAATAAAAGTTGCTGTTTATGTGGAAAAATCCCTAACCAGACACACAGTCTGCTAACATCTTAATCTGGGTCTTCCTAGCACTCAGAACTGTGTACAGTAAATTCTGTTGTTTATAAATTACCCAGTTTAAAGTATTTTCTTATAGTAGCCTGAACAGACTGAAATACTTGCCATGCTTGAATCTTTACTAATGTATTTCATGGCTAGGGTAACTCCTTAATATGTGGTAGAATCTAGTATATTAGAGAAACTAGATTTGATTAATGTACTAAAATAGACTGGTATTTTATAGAGTCATATAAAAATATTTCCTTCCTGTAAGACTACTGAGATTATCTTTGAAGTGACAAGAGTTCTACTCATTAAATTACAAAACAAAGACTGTGATTGAAGTTCTGATGAAAAGTATAGATGGGAAGAATTGTATGATTTAGGAGAAGGTAGAGGAATTATAAACTGAAGAAATAAAATGTCAGCTAAGCCAAAAAGAATAGGTTGATCTTAGGATGGGGCATGTAGCTTAGTGGCAGTGTGATTGCCAAGCAAGTGCAAGCCCCTTGATTCAATAAAAAAAAAAAAAAGGTTGATTTTAAAGAGGTGAATAGTAACAAAGCATTGTAGGCAGGGACTCTATTAGAAACAAGTGAAAAATGATTATTTATTGAAGAGTAATGTTAACTCCGAATGCATCATTCCATTTAACAAAACTATTCTATGAGTTTCCTTTTTTATAGACTATGATTAATAGTCTATAATTAACAGATTCAGTGTTAAGTATGTTACCTAAGCAAGAGGCAGAGCTGTGATTTGAACTTAGATTTGTCCTGTTAACCCCAATATTGTATCTCTAGTGTGAGGGTCTGAATTGGACAATTGATATGTATTCTGTGAGTTAACTGAGTATGGGTGGTTTGTGAGGTGAACTGTTATGAACACACACTATTATCTATACACATTGATGTATATATGTATATCTGCATATGCATACACACACACATATATATGTGTGTGTGTGTATATATATATATATATATTTATACATACACACAAATATATTTAGTATTTGGGCATTAATAGGAGAATAAGGTAATAAATCAGCATTTAGAAAATTAGCAAAATATGTCTGGTTTTACCAGGGATGAAGAATTCAAAGGCAAGAAACTATACACACACACACACACACACACACACACACACACTCTTAGCCTCCTAAACCCCTGGGCTTATAGGTGTATGCCACCATGCCCAGCTTTAAACATTTATTTGTTTGTGGTTCTGGGGATTGAACTCAGAGGCACTCGACCACTGAGCCACATCCCCAGCCCTATTTTGTATTTTATTTACAGACAGGGTTTTACTGAGTTGCTTAGTGCCTTGCTTCTGCTGAGACTGGCTTTGAGCTCGTGATCCTCTTGTCTCAGCCTTCCGAGCTTCTGGGATTACAGGTGTGCACCACTGCACCTGGCTTAAGTATTTTTGCTCTAGTTACCAACTAAAGAGAATGAAATTAGGTGGTGGTGGAGGGAAAAAAAAAAAAAAGAAAATAAGTCAGACATCTTGCAAAGCAGGCATCAACAGAGTATAGTGAGGATTTAAGTTTTAAGTCCAAATGACAGGTAATTGTGACACAGTGATTAGGGAAATCTGAAAGGCAGATAAATGTTGAGTTCAATTTGATCACATGTTGATTTTAAGGTGTCTATAGATTGTTTACATAGGTAGAGAATGTCTAGGCAGTTAGGGTGCTGAAGAGAAGACTTCAGGAATAATAGAGAAGAGTTTAGAGTGTTAAGGAATGTTGAGTGTTGACAAATGTTACTGTGTAGGCATGGGAGAAAAGAGACATGAATAAAGACCTCAGAGATTAAAGATCATAAAGATAGGAAAGCCAGGATGAATTAGGGCTGTGGAAGTGAAGGAAGAAGTTTATTTTAAAGTTAGGCAGAATGTCAGGCTGGGGTTATGGCTCAGTGGTAGACCACTTGCCTCACATATGTGAGGCACTGGGTTTGATTCTCAGCACATATAAATAAATGAATAAAATAAAAGTCCATCAACAACTGAAAAATATTTCTTTTTAAAAAAGAAATTAAGCAGAATATCAGTTACAGGAGAAAGCTAGGGTGTAAAGTTAAAGAAATGCCATTGAACTCATTATAGGGGGGAAGTTGGTTATATTTCTATGCAAGAGTAGGAATGGCACCCTGTTTGGAGAGGGATTTGAAGTTGAGACATTGAGGTATTAATTTGATAAATGGGCAGTGAAAGAAAAAACTCAAAATAACTTCTGAGACATTAGGATCAAAGGATGTTTTCCTTTCTCCAAGCATTAGATCAAGTCACTCCTATGCCTTGATTATCCTTCTCTTCCTCAAAATGATCAATTCCTTTTCAGAGCCTTTGTGGTGCTTTGTAATACTACATCATGTAGTTGTTCTTATCAAGGAGTGTTTTTTTGTATAGTTGATTATCTTTGTTTCTACATATGTCCTAACTCCTTAAGTTGATAAGTCTTCATATTCTTCATGAATACTAAAATACAGTAAGCATTCACTATATCATTTATTATTATTGACTATTAATGGGAAACAGACAAAATCAATGAAATTATTTTTTTCTAAAACCCTTGATAGGAATTATGATTGAGTAATCCTTTGCTCAGATACTAGTAGATGTGGACTGGTTTAAAAAAATAAAAAGGCTGAAGAAGAAAAGAACTAAAAACATATTAACTGGTGACTGGGGGTATAACTCGGTGGTGAAGTGCATGCTTAGCATACCCAAGGATTAACATACACCAGGATTCAATTTTTAACCTCCAAGGAAAAAGAAATTAACTAATAGTTGTTTAACAAAAGAACAATTTTTAAAGCAGTATTACGTTCATCAAAATTGAGCAGAAGATACAAAATTTCTTATTGATTAATTGATTTCACTGTTGATGAAAATAGTGATATTTCATAACCACCCAAAGTTCAGGGGTTCATTCTTTGTATTTTACATTTTGTGTTTGGATAAATATATAATGACATATATCCACTATTATGGTATCATTCAGAATAGTTTCACTACCCTAAAAATCCTCTATGCTGCACCTATTTGTCCTTCCCTTCCCCCTAACCCCTAGCAACCATGAGTCTTTTTATGACCTACATGGTTTTGCTTTTTTCAAAATAGCATATAGTTAGAATCAATGGTATGTAACCTTTCCAGACTGCCTTCATTAACTTGATAATATGCATTTTAGGTTTCTTCCATGTCTTTTCATCGTTTGATAGTTCCTTTCATTTTAGCACTGAGTAACATTCCGATTGTTTGGATATACCACCATCTATCTATTTACTGAAGGGCATGTTGGTTTTTTCAAAGTTTTGGCAATCATGATTAAAACTGCTATAAAGATCCATGTTCAGGTTTTTGTGTAGATGAAAGTTTTTAGTTCTTTTGGGTAAATACCAACTAGTGTGATTGCTGGACTATGATAAGACTGTTTAGTTTTGTAAGAAACTGCTATTTGCACAGTGGCTGTACCATTTTGCATTTGCTATCTGCGGTAAATGTTAACATTTGGTGTTTTCAATGTTCTGAATTTTGGTCATTCTCATAGGTAGGTAGTAGTATCTTGTTTTAATTTGCATTTCTGTACATTTGATGTGGAGTATTTTTACATATGCTTATTAGCCACCTGTATATCTTCTTCAGGATGTTCAGGTTTTCTGTGCTTTTTTTTTTTTTTTTTTTGTTCTAGGGATTAAACCCAGGGCCATCTACGTGTTTAGCACAAGCTTCACCATTGAACTACATCCCCAGCCCTGATCCATTTTTAAATTGGATTATTTTCTTATTGTTGAAGTTTAAGTAACTTTACCACTGAGGTACATCCCTGTCTTTTTTATTTTTTATCTTGAGACAGGTTCTCACTAAGTTGTTGAGGGTCTTACTATATTGCTGAGGCTGGCTGGAACTTTCAGTTCTCTGTCTCAGCCTCCCCAGTCTTAGGGAATACAGGCATGTGTCACTGTGCCTGGCTTTGCGTTAATCTTTTTGTGGGGCATATTGTCTTGTGTCTATATTCATTGATTTTGTGTGTGGATGTCTGTTATTGTTAAGATATGAGGTGTCCACTAAAAGCTCGTATGTGAGACAATGCAACAATGTTCAGGTGTGAGTGATTATGAGAGTTTTTTTTTAAAAAATCTAATCAGTGGATTAATCCACTAATGGATTAACCAGGTGGTAACTGTAGGCAGGTAGACTATAGGAAGTAGGTCATTGGGGGCTGACTTTGGGATTTATGTTTTGTCCCTACTGCACAGAGTTCTCTCTGTTTCCTGGTTGCCATGTCCTGAGCTGTTTTCCTCTGCTACATACTTCTGCCATGATGTTCTGCTTTATCTTAGGCCCAGAGATGTGGAGTAGGTCAACCATGAACTGAAACCATGAACTAAAACCATGAACTAAAATAATTTTTTTCTCCTTTAAGTTATTCTTGTCAGATCTTTTGGTTATAGCTATCCAAAAGCTGACTAAAATAATGTCTAATGTTCCAATAACATTTGTTAAAAAGGCAATCTTTTCTCCATTGTATTACTTTTACTCCTTTGTTAAAGGTGAGTTGAGTATGTTCATACTGGTCTACTTCTGTGTTGTCTGTTTTTCTCCTTCAATATTATGTTGACTGTTCTGGGTATTTTGTCTCTTTATAAAAACTTTAAAATCTGTTGACATACATAAAATAAATTTCTGGGATTTTAATTGGGACTAATAATTATTTTAAAACAATTACTCTATATATTATATAGAGGGGTGTGCTATGTATATGATGCAACCCGTATACAGAAAACTGGGCCAGTTGCAAATTCAGATGAAATTTCCTCAGAAGCTTGTTCTGGAGTACAGAAGTAGTTACTTTAATAATTAAATCCTTTCATTGAGTTTAAAGGCAAGTAATGAATGAGTCTACTTTTGAAATTATACAAGTGTTAAGTTTTATTAGCTTATCATTAAAATATTTAACTTAGTGGTAATTAATCTGTTCATGAAATTTGTGCATGCTCAAATCAGAATATAAATTCCAGTATTATAGATGTCTACTCGGCAATGTTAAAAAATCTCAAGCATTTTCTTAGTATTAGCTAAGAGTATCTCACAGTTTGCCTGTTGCATACATACAAAGACATGTATAATAATTTAGCTATAGGTTAATAAATTGCTTATTTTTAATCTGTATCTAAATGCATGATTTGACTTTTGTACACTTGTAAACTCATTTCCATTTCTCTATTTTTAGGCTCTTATAATAAATGGAGCAAATCTGACAGCTCAAGATGATTATGGATGCACTCCTTTACATCTTGCTGCAACTCATGGACATTCTTTCACTTTACAAATCATGCTCCGAAGTGGAGTGGTAAGGGACTCTGTTAATATGATAGTGTATAATCATAGGTGGAATAACATTTACTAGTCCATTTATCTCTTCCTAACTTTTAAAATCCCTTTCTTTACTTTGTGGAGGTAATTTAACTATTTTTTTTAGCTTTTTCATCTGTAAACATGGGAGCAATAATTCAGACTAATCTCACAGTACCCCTCCCCCCACTTCCCAAATAACAGTTAAGTGTAGTACAGAGTATTTCAGCAGTTTTTCATGCCACATTGGAGTTTCATTAGGAAGGTTCTAAAGCTTTTAAATGAAAGTTAACCAGGGAATTTTAAGTCTTTATAATTTCTGAATGTTTCTATGTGTTTATTTCTTTCCTTTCCTCCCTCTTTCCCTCTCTCTGTCCTTCTTTTGAAACTCTTTCATACATAGATTTAGAAAGTGATTTATTTCTCCAGAAATTTTATTTATTGAAATATTTATTTTTAATATTACCCATTGGTCATAAAAATAGCTATAAGAAAAGGATTACCTGTATCAAAGACATTATGGTAAGAGTTGGTGTTTCTGTAGTTAAAGAAAAAGTGTTTTGATATGATTTGATCATTTAAACCCATCTTTTTATTTTTTATTTTGTGAAAATATTTTATTTATTTTTGTTTAATTCCTTTAAAGTCCTATTGAATAAACTTGATAATCTATAGGTTGTGGAAAAGATATCTGAAACTCAAAGGATTAAGTTTTATTCAAAATAGCAAAGTATAAATAAGTAGAGCCAGATTCAGGACTCAAATATAGGTTGACCAACTCCAAATTTAGTTCTGAAATCAAAGTATAAATATGTTCAGTGATAACAGTTTCAGGATGACATGTGGAGTCTCTGTCAGAAGGAAGCTTTCTAAGTGGAAATGTCAGGAGTATAAATGAAATGAGTGGGTCCAGCTGCCCTACAACTCTATCAGAATATTGTGTGAGGTTACCTATATCACAGAATAACAATGATTAAGAAGTTTTAAAATTTTGTATTTATTTATTATTCTTTCTAAGACATTATTATTTCATTCTTTTCATTTTATTGGTCAGGAATTTGTAGTTAAGTTCCTTTATAATAAACTATTATTTACTTGTTATATTCTTTTAAAAAGGCTATTTTATAAAAACTTCATTAATATCTTATGAACTCATGTGTTCAAAACAATAATTGCAGTAAATTTTTCTATTATATTCAGTGCTGACCTGATAGTTTTATGAACAGCCTCCAGTTGTCATTTGCAGAATTAAGCTGCTAGGCTTAGTGTTTTTCCTACAAAATGGAAAGAAACTTGAGTCCTTGTGAATGTTTCCTGTAGGATCCTAGTGTGACTGATAAGAGAGAATGGAGACCTGTACATTATGCAGCTTTCCATGGGCGGCTTGGCTGTTTGCAACTTCTTGTCAAATGGGGATGTGGCATAGAAACTGTGGACCACAATGGAAACCTTCCAGGTATTCAACAAAAGCAAATATTTTATTTTTGTTAATATACTCTTTAATGTTTGAGCATGTTTAAGAAATTTAAACTGTAATAATTTAAAATAGTAAATATGTTAATGTGAACATTTTTTAATTTGATGTCTCACCTATGTTATGTACCCCTCATGTTACTGATTTTTTTGAACCAAATTAGCAAAAGAGAAATTGGCAAAATTAAGCATGGATTCATTCTTCCCAGCAACTTTTTCTTTCATCTACTGTCTAGTGTTCTTATCTTTTAATTTCATACCTCTCTGCCCCATAGACAATCTTTTTTAAAAAATATTTTTAGTTGTTGATGATCTTTTATTTTATTTACTATATGTGGTGCTGAGAATCGAACCCGGTGCTTCAAACATGGCTTGGCAAGCGCTCTATCATTGAGCTATAACCCTAGCCTCTATAGGCAACCCTTTGACATTTTAAATGATATAGAGGACACAAGAGTACTTAAATTAACTTGCTAATGATATACAACTGCAATATACTGGCCAGTTTAGATCTATGTTCTAAGCACACTATTTTCTTTAAGGAGTACTGTAGCAATTCAGAAAAGGGATAGATCACACTGATTTTGCAATGAAAACGATACATGAATTACATCCTAAAGAAATCTTAAGAAGCAAACACATGAAGGGGAAGGCTAGGCAGAATAATATAAATACGTCTGGTCAAATTACTTTGCTGTTTAGAACCTCTTGGTATCCATGTAGAGCCTTGATTACTTTGTCATATTAGACCTTTATAAATTGGCTCCTATATATCTCCTGGCCTCAACTATGCCTTTATGTTACTATCTGAAATCCTTTTGCTTTTTTCTAAAGAACATCTGTTTTTGTTTTTTTTTTTTTGGCTGAGGGTAAGTTGCTGGTGATTAAGTTTGTGCATGGTAAGCATGTGCTCTATCACTGAGCTACATCCATGGCCACCGAAAGAACATCCTTTAGTATTCATTTAGTATGAATGCACTCTTTTTGTGCATATCTGAAAGTGATTTTATTTTGTTCTTTCTTTTTATTTATGTTTCTTAAGAGAAAAACACTTTTTATTAATAAAGAATTTCATGTATTCATTTGCTCTTTGTTTCCACATTTTTATTGGTGCATTATAGTTGTACATATTGATGGAATTTGTTGTTACATATTCGAATATGCACCCAATATAACAATATAATTTGGCCAGTGTCACTCTTGAGCACTTCCCCTCTTCTTTCCCACCTCTGACCCCTTGATGCCTTTCTTCTACTGATGTCTCTTTGATTTTTAGAACTACCCCACCTTTGTTTGCCCTTTTCTCTCTAGCTTCCGCATATGAGAGAAAACATTACAACCCTTAACCTTCTGAGTCTGACTTATTTTGATTAACATGATGGTCTCTAGTTCCAACCATTTTCCTGCAAATGCCATTTTTTTCCATGGCTGAGTAAAACTCCATTTTGTATATATAACACATTTACTTTATCTATTCACCCATTGATGGACACCTAGATTGGTTCTATAGTTTGGCAATTGTGAATTGTTCTGCTACATGCATGGCTATGCATGTATCATTGTAGTAAGATCACTTTAATTCTTCAGGATAAATACCGAGAAGTGGTATAGCTGGGTCATATGGTGGTTTCATTCCTACTCTTTTAAGGAGCCTCCATACTGATTTTCATAGCTGTTGTACTAATTTATATGCTGTACTAATTTATGTCCCACCAAACGTGTAAAGATGTTCCTTTTTCTTCATATCCTCTCCAGCATTTCTTCTTATTTGTATTCTTGATGACTATTATTCTGACTGGTGTGAGATGTAATCTCAGTGTAGTTTTGATTTGCTTTCCCTAATTGCTAATGATATTGAACATTTTCATGTATTTGTTGGCCATTTCTGTTTAGTTTATTTACCTATTTATTAATGGAGTTATTTGATTTTTTTGGCATAAAGTTTTATGAGCTCTTTGTATATTTTAGATATTAATCCTCTGTCAGAAGAGTAGCTAGCAAAGATTTTGTCCCATTCTGTGGGCTCTCTTTTCACATTCCTAATTGTTTTCTTTGCTGTACAGAAGCCTTTTAGTTTTATGCTGTTCCTTATATTAACTTTTGGCATTGTTTCTTCAGCTTTAGGGGTCCTGTTGAGAAAGTCACTGCCTGTGCTTAAAAGCTGGAGTGTTGGACCCTATATTTTCTTCTAGGAGTTGCATAGTTTCTGGTCTAATTCAAAGGTCCTTGAAACATTTTGAGTTGATTTTTGTGCAGGGTGAAAGATACAGGTCTAGTTTCATACTTCTTCATATGATTAACCAGTTGTTTCAGCATCATTTGTTAAAAGGCCCTCTTTTTTTTCAATGTGTGTCTTTGGCATCTTTGTCAAGGATCAGATGACTGCAGATGTGTGGATTTATCTTTGTCTCTTCTATTTTGTACTGTGCTCTACGTATCTATTTTTATGTTGCTACCACACAGTTTTTGTACGATAGCCCTACAATATAATATGAAGTCAGGAATTGTGATGCTTCCAGCATTACTTTTTTAGCTTAAAATTGCTTTGGCTATTCTGAGTTTTTATTCTTCCAAATGCATTATAGAACTGCTTTTTCTAGTTCTGTGAAGAATGTCATTGGTATTTTGATGAGGATTACATTGAATCTGTATATTGCTTTTGTTAGTATGGCCATTTGAACTACACTGTGTCTATCTATGAATGTGGGAGATCTTTCCATCTTCAGAGGTTTTCTTCAATTTCTTTCTTAAATGTTCTATAGTTTTCATTGTAGAGGTCTTTTACCTCCTTGATTAGATTTATTCCTAGGTATTTTATGGTATTTTTTTGAGGCTATTATGAATGAATTTGTTTTCCTGGTTTCCTTCTCAGCAGATTTGTTGTTGGTATATAGGAAAGCTATTTATTTTTGTATATTGATTTTGCAACCTGCTACTTTGCCAAATTTGTTTATTAGCTCTAATAGTCTTTTAGTAAAATTTTTTGGATCTTCTAGGTATAGGATCATATCATCTACAAACAGTGATAATTTGATTTCTGCCTTTCCTATTTTTATCCCTTTTATTTCCTTCTCTTTTCTAATTGCTCTGGCTAGAATTTCTAGAATCACATTAGATAGAAGTGGTGAGAGTGTATAGCCTTGCCCTATCCCAGATTTTTAAGAATCTTTCAGTTTTTCCCTGCTTACCATGAGTTTGGCTTTGGGTTTTTCACACATAGCCTTTATGATATTGTGGTAGGTTCTTTTTCTCCCTAGTTTCTTCAGTGATTTTATTATGCATGGGTGCTAAATTTTGTTAAAGGCCTTTTCTTCATCTTTTGAGATTATTAAGTGATTTTGATCCTTAATTCTGTTAATGTAATGAATTACATTTGTTAATTTGCATATATTAAACCATTCTTGCATCTCTGGAATAAATCCAACTTGGTTATGGTATGCAATCTTTTTAATATATTATTGAACACGATTTGCTAATATTTTATTGAATATTTTTGCATCTAAGTTCATCAGGGATATTGATTTGTAGTTTTCTTTCTTTGATGTGTCCTTTTATGGTTTTGGTATGAGTGTAATACTGGCTTCATGGAATAGAACTGGATTTGTTCCATACCTTTCTATTTCATGGAATAATTTGAGAAGTATTGGTTTAGTTCTTTTTTAAAGGTTTGATAGAATTCAGCTGAGAATTTATCTAGTCCTGGGATTTTCTTTGTTGGAAGGATTTTTATTACTGCTTGTATCTCATTACAAGCTATTGGTCTGTTTAAGTTTTCTATGTCCTGTGGATTCAGTTTTGGCAGATCATATTTGTTTAGAAATATACCCATTTCTTCTAGGTTTTCCAATTTATTAAAATATAAGTTTTCAGAATAGTCCCTAATGATCCACTGGATTTGAGATGTCTGTGATGATTTTTCCTTTTTTAGTTCTAATTTTATTAATTTGAGTTTTCTCCCTTTTTATTTTGGTTAGTTTGGCTAAGGGCTTATCAATCTTGTTTGTCTTTTCAGACAACCCACTCTTTGTGTCATTAATCCTTTGTATTTTTTTTTTCTCAAGTTCATTGATTTTTGACTCTGATAGTAATGATTTCCTTCCTTCTACTGGTTTTGGAATTGGTTTGTTATTTTTTTTCAAGGGCCTTGAGATGCATTATTAATTTGTTTATTTGGGATTTTTCTTATGTAGGCACTCATAGCTATAAAATTTCTCCTTAGACCTGCCTTCATAGTGTCCCAGAAGTTCTGATATGTTGTATCACTATTCTCATAATAATTTTTAAATTTCTCACTTGATTTCTTTTATCACCCATTCATGTTCAAAAAAGTATTGTTCAATCTCTATGTGTTTATATAGTTTCTGTAGAGTTTTGACATATTAATTTCTAATTTTATTTCATTATGATATAATAAGATGCAAGGAATTATATGAGGTATTTTTTTGTATTTGCTAAGAGTTGTTTTGTGGCCTACATTATGATCTTTTTGAAGAAGAATTCATAAGCTACCGAGAAGAATGTGTATTCAACTGATGGTGGATGAAATATTCTATAGATGTCTGGTAGATCAATTTGATTTATAATATTTTTCAGGTCTGAAGAGTCTTTACTAAGTTCCTGTCTGGATGACCTATCTAATGGTGAGATAGGTGTGTTGAAATTGCCCAGTATTATTGTACTGTGTCTATCTGGGCCTTCAGTTTGAATAGTGTCTCTTTTATGTAATCGAACCCATGCTTGGGGCATAAATATTTATTACTGTTATATTTTTTTGTTGGATTGTTATCTTTACCAATATGAACCTTCTTGTTTTTTGTGATTCACTTTAATTTGAAATCTGTTTTATCAGATATGAGAAAATCTGCTTCTTTTTTGGACTCCATTCACATGATATGTCAATTTTTATCCTTTCACTTTCAGCCTGTGGCTGTTTTTGCATGTTAGATACAGTTGGGTCTTATTCTTTAATCCATTCTGCCCGCC